CGCGTTAGGCCCACCAATTAGTGCAGCCTCGCGCATTACCACACTATATCTCTATACATACTTCTGATTCTTACCGCCAGGACATTATTCATACGCACTCGAACGCGACGCAATTTACAATACATACTCTTAATACATACAATCTTCGTCGATAAAGAAGTACTGGATTATGACATTGGCGCGGTAATTACAAATATTCTTTAATACGCAGAACTATACATTCTTGGGCTTTTTTTCGGCGCTATGTCTCCTTTTCTCTTCTTGGCGCTACTCCTTGCATCTAATTACTCTCACGTAGAACATGAAACACACAGACCCGAACCTTTATTAGCTTCTTTTAAATCAAAATAGATTCCACCTTAATGACGCGCTTCGGCGCTTAATGCTATAGGGTCAGAGAAAAATGACTCCGTCATATATTTTTTAATGTCTTTTCCATTTTATTATTTTTTTTTTTGATTACGTCTTGTAATTTATTAATTAAAAGGTTATATGTTTAAGCCCCGAAAACATTTTTTTTTTCTTAAGATGAAGGGACGTCCAGTAAGTGACTTACGTTTTATAAAAATCTGTTGTTTTCATAATTCCAGCACCCATAGCTGGTGACAAAAATAGCTTCGTTCTAAATACCTCAGTTTATTATTAAACCTTACGAAAGAATCACCTAAAATAGCATTTATGAGAAAATTTTCTGTTAAAAGCTCCCAATGTTTTTAAAATAGATTACTATTACGTGACCTTATGAAATTTTGAAATTAATCCACAAGTAATGTTTTTAATAAAATAAGAAAGAAAGGGTTAAGTATTTGCAAAAGTGCATATATAGGTATATCCGTATAAAAAAAGTAGTTCCCAACGTTGCCACATATTTTCGCTCCCCATACCTCTCTAAACTTTCCCCCGCTAACTGTGATGAACGTTTCCAACTCAAAAAAAATCAACTTAGTCTCGAATACAAAAATTATAAAAGAATAAAATGCAATGAAAAATCATTACTGTATTAATTCAGTAATGTATAAAAAAGGTGCTGCTCAAAAAAAAATGTATTCAAGTGTGAAAAATAATTTTTAATTGAAAAATAAAAAAAACAGTTAATCGAATGAATAATTTGATAATTACTACAACATATTATCAAACCAAATTAATTAATAAGCAGTGAATAAATATTTAAATTTAAATGAGGTTACAAACTACCGTATTAGTAGAAGAAACCGGATCCTCTTGGCATAGTGGGCAAGGTACTAGGCTGCCTACACCATGGAGAGGTTAAAAGTGTTTGAGAGAAAATGCCTAAGGGCCTGTCTAAACGTATATCGTAACCCTGAATAGTAATACCAAAGATTCTTTTCGAACAAAATATTTTAAAACAAAACAAAATCGCCTAGAATCAATCTATTTATATTAGAAATAATCAGAAACTATTGTGCTGATTCTAAAAAAAATAAAAATTATGTGGTAATTGAAGAAGATTTAATTAAAATAGATTTACCATATTTGAAAAAGTGTAAAAGAAGTAGAATAAAGCTACCTGAATTATTTATGTTATTAGATAAGCCAAATTTAATCCAAAATGTCAATAACGTACCAATATTGAATTATTGGTCTAGAGATAAGAGGAACCCGAAAAATCCAACATGATAACAGAAGCGCACCAGTGATCAAATATAGCACCACATTATCAAAATACGACCTTAACGAAAAACTGAGAGACAATACAAAATACTGGTAGCTTTATCAATTAATGTAAATAACTAATTCTAGCGTACTCAGTATGTTAAAAAAAAAAAAAAAAAAAAATGCCAGAGCAAACTTTCC